TATATATATATATATATATATATACACACACACACTGAATGTATATGTGTGTGTTTTACTTTTTTAAATGGTATTCAATATTCTGTTACCTGTAAGAGAAAATCAAAAAGTGCCAGTTTGCTCCATTCGTAGTGATGGATGGCGGAGCAGCCTGACTCAACCTTCGGGGCCGCATTCTGAACCCAACACCTGTATTTTAGGGACCTCTGGTACTCAGCCCATGTTAGGCTCACACCATCCGGGTGGAGCGATGCCTCCCATGCCACCACTGGACTAGGCTGGCCATCTAGACAGGGAAGACAACCGAATGAATACTTATGACCACCAGACTGTATATACCAGTGTTTTTCATCCCCTGTGCCGTGGCACACCAGTGTGCCGCAAGACATTGTCAGGTGTGCCGCGGGAAAATATCCAATTTGTACGCCTGTGTGCCTATCGCCCAGAAAGTAATCATGTAGTACCCTCCCATACCGCTAGGGAGCAGCAACAGCTAGCCAATTGCCTTGTGTTTAGACGAGAGACAAGCGAATTTGTGATGCATGAATGCTAGGACGACGGTGAAACAATAAATATGAAAGATGAGAAAACTTTTTTCTTTGTGTTCATTTGATTCCAATTCAAGCTGTTATAACGTCATTCTTCAATGTTAAAAACGGTTATAGTAACAATATAACACGTTCATTATTCAAATAAGCGTTTTGTTTTTTTTTTTTTCACATTTAGCTAGTGGTGTGCCGCGAGATTTTAACAATGAAAGTGGTGTGCCTTAGCCCAAAAAAGTTTGAAAAACACTGGTATATACCATACCTCCTCTTAGATAGCAATCTGCTCAACTACAAACTTATTTACATGGCTACAGTACATTGGTAGGCCTATCTACCGATCCATCTATGGACCTATTGTCAGAGATTTTCTCGGACAAAGTTAAAGAAATGACTCGGCAGACAGGAAAATTGCCTTTAATATCGGGGGGAGCGGATCTCTGAGAGCAAACGACGGTTTAGTGTGATGATCGCACACTCGAGCTCCCTTCCCGCCAATTCAGACTTTTATTGTAACATACAAGGAAAACACTGCCCCCGACATTTGCATACCGCACCCCCGGTCCGGCCCCTCGGTAGTGATTGGTTACCTGAGTTTAAGCTTTGAACCACCAGTACATTGGCGCCTTTCTGTCTGGTCTACTACACTGTATCAACATGTTGCAGATTTTGCGGACGACAAATGTCGCCTGGGCGGGACGGGACGGGTGTTCTCAACTCGTCTTTTGTTGTTCAACCGCTGTTCCCGAATTATTCATTCCCCTTTTGTGACCGAGTTTCGCCCTCTCCCCTGTGATCGCCCACCTGCATTGACGTCCTAATTGTGGACTTCAACAGCCCTCCGGCCAGATGGCCGGCACCTTTGTGCACAGGCATTTGGGGGTGCCGGATACACACCCAAACGTTTAGATGTGCCCAAATTAAATGAAACTTTAAACATGATACAATTTTGCTCATAGATTCCTCTAACACCTATTTAAAGAATCTTGTCAGCTAGCGACCCGTTTAGCTTCTACATCCATCCATCCATTTTCCAATCCGCTTATCCTCACATGGGTCGTGGGGCGTGCTGGAGCCTATCCCAGCCGTCTTCAGGCAGTAGGCGGGGTACACCCTGAACTGGTTGCCAGCCAATTGCAGGGCACACATTGACGAACAACCATCCACACTCACACTCACACCGAGGGATAATATAGAGTGCTCCATTAACCTGCCATGCATGTTTGTGGCGTGTGGGAGGAAACCGGAGTACCCGCAGAAAACCCATGCAGGCACGGGGAGAACATGCCAACTTCACACAGGAGGGCCACACAGCAACACTGCACCTCTGCACTGTGACGTGCTCACCGGTCGACCACCGTGACGGTATTATCTTTATTCTAACTTCAAAAACAAAAAAACTTCATCCTCAATGCAGCTACTGATCACCAGGTCACCAGTATGTGGTGCCTGCAAAAAACTTAACATCTCAGAATAACGATCATTTATCAGCTATTGGACTTTTAAAAATGGCCAATGCCAATTTGAGCCAATAGACAAATATTGACCTGGCCAGTAACCTGTCTACCACAACTAGCTATCCACAAGCCAATTATCTGTTCAGCTGGCTACCCATTTACCTTACTTGCCATCGACATACCTGTAGATATTTAACAAAATCAGAATAAAGTAATGGGCAAATTAGCTGTTCAGTTGCTCTGTAGCCATGTGGGTAGCCTATGAATAGTGGGTAAAGGAACTGACACCCTTGTATTTACTAATAACAGATGATAGCAATGTTGCTGTTTTTGTTAAAGTATGTTGCTTTGTTTTGGAATGTGAATGAGTGGTTAGGACATCTGTCGCACAGTTTTGGGCCTTGGGATAACAAACTCAGCTCCAGTCTTCCTTTGCTGGGTTTTCTTCAGATTCCAAAAAATATAAAACCCATTTTATTTCGTTGTTGTTGTGTTGCCAAGTTATCAAAATCCATTTCTGTAGAGATTTTTTTTTTAAGTAAACTTGATTTGAATCATTACCAGTCGTGTGTCACTAAAGTGTCTGTATTTTTACTTAAGTAAAGAGTGCAAGTGTTATTTCCACCTTTGATTATGTCATCTGACTGTGGTTATTATTTAATGACCCACCGTGCAAGAAGGCTAACTTCCGGCTCACGGCCGGCAAAGTTCTGTTGAGTCCTAGCACTCGGTCCAAATGGAAGGCGAACACCTCCACCGAGTCCACCGGGTCAAGGGCGAGTCCGAACGCCGCGTTCGGCTCCTCCGGACGGGTTTCCTCAAAGACCAAGAGTGGCCAAGGAGCTCCTTGTGGTTGTTCGACGCGTAAAACTTTGGCACCGGCGAGAGCGCGCATGGTACCCACGTCGTGTGCGCTCAGCCACGGCGGAGGAGTGCGGCTGTATATGCGGATAGAACTCACGGGAGGCTCCGTTTCGAATCCGGTCTTGGAGTTCGAATGCGGAAGCGCAGTTCTTCTCATTTTCCTCCGCAGTTTGGGTCGCACAGTGCCGCGAATGTTGGCCGGCTTGAGCCGCTTGGATTTGAGGGTAATGTAGACTACGTTGGAGTGGGTCGGAACCGCCGAGTCCTGGCTCACCAAACCAACATTCATCACACCCCTCGGCGTGACTTGGTTCCGTCCGGCTGTAGTCCAGTTGGGGCTCCGTAGAGAGAGGTCCACTTGGGTGAAAAACAGATATAGTGCGCAGACAAGAGCGGCTGTTAAAGTTTTTTTGGGAAGAAGGCGCCTCCGGAACCAGAATCCGGACGGATGAAAGACGCACAGCCGATGGAAGCGACCCTTCCGAGCCATTTATGTTCTTGGCATGGTGGACCGAGCCGAACTCGAAATGAGGGATGTTTGGGAGTGTTGGGCTGACAGGATGCAACTGCGCACTGGAAACTCACTCCTGACCCACATGGACCAACCAGACCTTTTTATAATTCTTATTCCCACCCAGCAGAATAAACATGATTCCTATTCTGCCGGTAAAACACCCATTTGCATGGATTTTTATTTTTATCGTGTCAACATACTGATCGGTAGTGTTCAACCAAACACAAAATAAACAAACAAAATAACTTTTTAAAAGTGTTTAAAAAGCAACAATAACATTTTCATAATGCTGTGACTTTATTATGTAATATTGCAACCTTAGTTGTTGCAAAATTAGGAAGTTTCTTATTATTTTCCATTATAATTTTGCTGTTTATTCTCATACTGTTAACATGATGATATTTTCCTTGCAATGTTACGTTTTCTTGAAATATTTTACCTTGCATGAATACCATCAATATTCCACATTTGTAATAGTTGCAGCGTTTTTTCTAAAATAGTACATTCTTCTCCTAATATTTTGACTTAATCAGTGTTGCCACATTTACCTTAAAAACTAATTTAATTACTTAATTCGTTACTCGAGTTTTAAAATAAGCTACTTTCCTGATGAATTGAGCTAATTCGATTCCAAATTACTTTATTAATTCGGCAATTTCTAAACCTGATTTGCAAATTTTTGCTTTAATGCATTCTAATCCGAAGGTTCACTGACCTCGGAGTAAGATTACATTTGTTCATGTTACAACATGTCATTGTGATTGGTTGCACGTCGTTTTTCCTGTAACTGACATTCTGTGCGTGGCAGCACTTCATTTGTGTGTCATGTGATTTAATCTCATTTAAACCGCCAGAGACGAATGCGAAACCACGAGCACGCGTCGTTAGAAATTCAAGTGTCAAAGGCGACATCTGCTGGCGGATATTGAACTAATTAACAAGGACAAAGATTAGGGAAATGTATCAACAGGTTAGAAAAAAAAATACCGAGCTAGAAAAATAACTTCACTTCACGAGGGAGGAAAGCTTGGCCAACAGTGTTACAGGATTTCCTGCAATGGATGTAAAGTAGTTCCAAAATAGACACATTGTGTTTGTGTCTCCGGGTTGTCTGTGGATTCCTCCCTCAACACGCTGCATATTTTTGTCCTAAAGAAACCATTAGTTTGATTAGCAAAGTGCCTTATCGCTGATATTAACAACATGGAGGTAAACGGACAATTGTCAGTATGATGGCTCCAGTTGGCATGGCAACGCAAAGAAGGGTTGGCTGGAACCTCACAGTTCCAGGTTTGGATTTTGTGGCTTTGTTACATTATTCGACCAACAATCTCCCTTTTGTTCATAATATTACATCATCACATGATTTTTTTTTCCTGAAAAATATTGCAACCATATTCTTATAACGTTGTTTTCTTATAAAATGCTCATAGCCATATTTTTACACAGCATAATTATCATAATATTGCTTAATATATCATAACACTGAAACGTCTTCGAACTGTTGCGACTGTGTTTTCATGTTGCAATTTTTTTTCCAATGTTGGCGCCTTTTTCTCAGAATATTGTGATTACATTCAAGCGATATGAAGACTTGTTTCTTTGAATAATGTGAGTTTATTTCCTAAATTGCGTTTATATTATCATAAGGGTTTTTATCATAGTTTTCTGATTTTTTTTTCAGATTGATGAGACTTCATTTGCAGTGCATTATGTTTTTTTGTGAGAAGTTTAATAATTCTGCATCTCTATATTCATAATTAAATTGTTGCATTTTTATTTTTAAATTGTGACTGTTTTGTTGTCGATTTACAATTTTACATTCAAATTTGTTCTCGTAGAATTGAAACTTATCATTACACCTTTTTCCATAAGATTGCATCACATTTTGACATTTTTACATATTTTACAATATTTCATTTCCAAACTTTTAACAGTGCAATTTTCCCCTTACATTGTGACCCAATTGCGCCCCCCCCAAACATGTCAACATAATTTTTGTAAGATAATGACAAAATATTGCAACATTTTTCTTGCACTATTTGAACTTGAATTTCACAACAGTCTGACTGCATTGTTTCTGCACTAAAATGGACATGAACAATTTTACTGGGATTTTTTTCCCCCACACTGCGTTTACACTGGTGGATGCCATTACGGCTGTTCTCGCCACATAACCAACTTAATTTTAGATTCCAGGCTTATTCAACAACTCTAATTGCCTGGGCCAAAATAATTAGACCAGTAGCATGCAGACTTGTTTTCATTAAAAGAAAAAGAAAAGGAAACAATTAACAAGACAGCTCTGCGTGTCATGGTCCAATTTGCGCTGCCCCCTGCTGGCACTATTCACTCGGTGATTGGTTGATTGACAGCACCTGGCAGGCACCCATTACTGCACGCTGACCTGAGGAATTGAACCCCAGCCGAATCTCACCGCCCCGGATATCACGTTGAATTTCTGGAACATGTTTGTGGCCAAATGTGCTTTACTTGTCATCCCGCTTTTGATTGCCCGTTGCTATGGCAAGCAAGCAAAGGCATCAGGTTTGAATTAATGGCAAAATCTGCTATTTTTTATTTATTTATTTTTGGCTTTGAAAATTTCTTTTTGTTCTTCCCTTTGAAGGTGGCTCTGGAGATGAAGAGGTTGAAGCAAAAAATGGAACGTTTGGTTTTAACTCCACCAATAATATGACACGTTTCACCTGCGGAATGGTGGCAAATGTGGCCGCTGTGCTGCTGTATGGAAGCAGCTTTGTTTCCGTTAAACGCATCGAGACCGGAGATGGTGAGTGCCGTTGATTTGGATTTATAAAAAAGGTTCGGTCTTCGTTCTACATGATGAACGTGACTCAAAAGAAAAGGGTTTTGAGGACACGACAAATGTTGTAGGTCAGATGTCACTGATCTTTTTTTGGAACTGCGAACTACAATTTGGGATTAATTCCAGGGGTGACACCTTTTGATACACATTTCTGAAGTAACACATTTGCTTAAATTACATTTGTTATTCAATTTATGTGAAGACATTGATCATCTTAATGATTTCGCTTAATCATTAGAAAACAGATACATATCATATGCACCACTATTTCTATAAATCTCTGCCATTTTCAAATGACTACTTTTACTAAATTCTGAGAAAATAATCCGCCATCCATGATGAGCAAATGTTTTTTCTAGAGCAGCCACCTTTTTGGGAATAAATGTTGGAGGTTTGTAACATCAACAGGCCGAACATTGCTTGAAAAACAAAAATGCAACACAAGGTATGATTGATTCACAATCAATGTTTGTTGGGATGCTGACAGATTTATAGAAAAGAATTCTTCAGAAACTGAGAACTCGAGAGAGGAGACTCAATTTTTTTTGTCAGTTTCACAAGAGTGATTTATAGTTTTTGGGGTACAATAAAATTGAATGTTGGTATTTCTTGATTTATACAACAATAATTTACGGTACCTTTTCTGGTTACTTGACATTACAGAAATTGTGGTTTCCTCACACTGGGGTGGGCGTGGTGGAGGGAGATAACAATTTGCAATACTGGTTGGTCTAAGTCCAAACATCTGTCAAACCTATCAACATTTCTTGAAGATGATAAATAGCATTCACGCGCTGATGCATTCCAAGATGAGTTGTGGCTATGGGAACTGGCCCAGTGTTGCACTGATGGATCATGAAAAGTGTGGAGTGCAGCCAAGTCCTGCCGCCATACGTCAGTATGGCAACTACAGTGAATCTTTCAAGGTAGCTTTATGTGTATACTGTAGCGCATTTCCGACACAGGGTAACGCAACATGCTTTACAAAATTAAAAGCACAACATTTTAAAACAATTTACAAAGAGTGGAAGACATTTTTTTAAAAAATCAAATAATCAAAGTAGGTTAGTGAATTTACGAACATGCAAAATGAACAGTGCAAGAACACTGTTTTAAAAATGCTTTGAAAGACCTAATCACAGGTATGAGGGGAAAAGAGCACAGTTTTCACCTGGATGAATATGCATTTAAACTCGGCCTGACTTCAGTTCTGTTGGCATCTTATTCCATTTGCATGCAGCATAGCAGCTAAAAAGTGGCTGATGCTGGTCTGTCAAGGAGGGGAAGCTCAATTTCGGCCTACATCATAAAATGTGTCCGTTTATTTATACTGTACGTGAATTCTACTCTGCGTTCCTTTTCAAGAAAATTATGTGACCTTGTCATATCAGCTTCTTTTCCAGGGTCTTAACTGTGGTGATATGTCAGTCTGCGAACACAAGCAACTACAATAAAACACACCAGAAATAAAAGATTAATCTGTCGCGAGTCGTTTTCAACAAAGAGAGTGTCTCTTCGATTAGAAGTCTCCAGCTCAACTCAGAACAGAATGAGAATTGAAAAATGCTCCCACAGATGCGTACACCAAAAGATCGGTGATTGGCTCATTTCGCTGTCAATCAAAAAGAGATTCAGCCTCAGACAGATTATCCAATCATCATGCAGAAAAGCTGAGCGTCCGGGTCAGCCGATAAACACCCACTGTCCATAGACTTCCAGAGACACTGAGCGTCCGATGGGCGGTACAGAAGCGGCGTTTATCCAATGACTCATCTCGTTTCGATGCATTGGGACAACCTACACTGAACTCTCGACGCCCAGCGTCCGCGCCGTAGACGCTCAGCGTCCACACAGTTTAAAGCACAGTGAAGCTGCGGGAATGAATGAGAAGAGGGCCGTGTCGTAACCAGTAATAAGAAGCTGATTCGGAACAAAAGTTGAGCGCGTTGCAGTGCATATTTAGTCAAAGACATGTACACACAATTGTATGTACACACATATACAGGTATTTGATCACTTATTTTTTGACATTTTAGGGGAAGCAGAGCTTCCCTTGCAATCTTAGAGCAATCGCCTCTGCAGCTAAATGTATTCAGCACCCAAAAACCATTTCATGATTCATGGACCAGTAGCAGAATGTATATTCTTTACTTTGATTTGAAATGTCTTCACCCCTTTGTAAATGCGTTTAATGATATGAAGCACATTGTGTTACCCTGTGTATGAAATGCGCTACACATATAAAACTGCCTTGCAAGATTTACTGAATCAGTTGTTGAGGCTTGATACTCTTGCATTCATCAGAAAGTTAAATGATTTTTTTCTATTCACTTTACTTA